TCTTGAATTCAAGATTTTTGCCTGTTTCAAGATTTTTGCCTGCCTGATTTTTGCCTTTTTTATCCTGTTCTAATGTCCTAGCATCAAACAGATGTTTACCCTATTAATCTGACATTAGCTACCTATGCACGAGGACACTGTTTGGGTGACATGTTCATCATAGCTTAGAGTGCTGTCCACCTGCAGGCCAAGGTCCCGAGCAGAAGGAGATGGAGTGACCTTCTTTCCAAGGAGAGTGAACCCGTTGTAACCGCTTGAAACCCCATCTAACCCCTTGTAAGCCCCTTTAACCCCTTCTAACCCTCTGTAACCCCTTGTAACCCTGGTAACCCCCAGTAACCCGTTAAACCCCCTGAAACCACCTGTAACTCCTTCTAACCCTCTGTGACCCTTTGTCACTCCTTCTATTTACGTGTAAGCTCTTGTAACCCCCTGTAACTCCTTGTAACCGCCTGTAACCCCTTGTACCCCTTAAAATCCACTGTAATCCTCTGTAACTCCTTGTAATATCCTTGTAGTGTCTTACGGATTTAACCAAGGATTGAATCGGATTTAACCATCAACACACACACCATTGTTGCTCGTGCAAACATGTGTATTCAATCAACATAACAGTCAGAGCGCAGCTCGATAATACAAACAGGGGGGGTGGGGACGGTAGACCTAAATATTCACATATACCACATTCCTCCCATCTTAGAACTACTTGTTGGGTTAAAAGAAAACGAAAAGAAAACACATCCTAGCTAACAATGTATATGTGTCTCCGAGTGCCGTACAGAAATCCTTATACGACTGAACACTTCTAAGTGGCTTAAGTGGAAACATAGCAAAACATGACAACGGTTCAAGTTCAGTTAAGAGTTCCTGTTCTCAAAGTCTCAAAGTTCTACTCTGAATCAAGCTGTATAAAGCTTAAAATATAGTCTTGAAATTTAGATGGTAATCTTTTGACTCTTCCTGGACGTAAGGTGACACAATTTCTTTGCTCCATAGTAGCATCATCTGATCTTGTGTACTCCAATGGGTCGTCCTCACTTGCTCTCTCAGAGGAAACATTTACAGGTTCTCTGGACTCTTGGTTTGATAAACTTTGTGTTGCTCTCTGAGCCTCTGAATCATCTGTTGACTTACTAGTGGCTGGTAATACAGCATAATCTCGCTCGAAATACTTCTTCACATGGGTTACATTCCGGCGGTACTGCACACCATCAGCCTCAACAACAACACTATTGCTATTCTGCTGAATAACTGTAAAGGGAGACTGTTTGTATGGCGTTGACAGTTTGTTCTCTTTCTCCTGCCTCAGTAACACCTTATCACCTTCTCGAATCTCGCTTTCACGTGCATTCCTTCTGCAGTCTGCATACACATTTCCCTTTTCTTTTCTCTCGCTGTAGCGATCTCGAACCTCATCTTCGATGCTGAACTCTTGTACTTGACAACGAAGTTGCTTTGGTATCACAATTCGAGTTCCACGAAGAACAAGCTTTACAATTGCACTTAACTCACCTCGCACAGGTAGGTACTCTTTGAATTCTAAGGCATGCCATTTCCCATTCAAGAGACATTCTCGTACACTTTTCAGCTCAGGATCAAGTTCTGATGCTCTCTCTATTTCACGAGTTGTCAGGGAAACTGGTGTCGATTCTTGGGCAACCCACTTGACATATTCTTCGGTTTGGTCTTTGTGTTCTGACGGTGGCATTGCACACAGGAGACGTGACAAGGAATGAGCAATGTTCTTAGGACCTGGATTATATTTCACTGTAAATCTGTAGGGTTGCATTCTGAGAAGCCATCTTTCGATCCTAGCACAGGTCATTCTAGAGGCTTGTGGTCAGTCATTAGTTAAAACTCAGCACCATACAAATAGGCATCAAAACCTTTCGCAGGCCCACACAATGGCTAAGACCTCTTTCTCAGTCTGAGAGTATCGGCGTTCTGTATCAGACAGGCTGCGGCTTGCATAACTAATAACTCGTAATTCTCCTCCTTGCTCTTGAACTAGCACGGCTCCTAAGCCTACAGGGCTTGCGTCTGCGATCACCTTAGTTGGTGCATTCTTATCAAAGTATCCAAGTGTCTCTGCACTGGACAGTCGCTTCTTTAACTCATCAAATGATTGCTGTTGCTCCGGCCCCCACACAAATGGTTCCCCACTCTTTGTAAGCTGGCGGAGGGGTGCAGATACTGTTGCTAGGTCTGGAATAAACCGTGCAGTGAAATTGACCAGACCAAGGAAGCTTCGTACTTCCGCAGCATTCGTCGGTTCAAGGGCATCAACGACAGTTTTTACTTTAACTTCTGCTGGACCAACTCCACGTTCCGACAAAACATTACCCATAAACTCCAAATGTGACATCTTAGACAGACACCTGTCTCGGTTCAGTGTCTACCCCCTGCTTTTCAGTACTCGGACAACATTCTCAAATCTTTTGTCATGTTCCTCCTCAGTGGGTGCATGTACTATCACATCATCAAGAATATTGTGAGCTCCGTCACACTCCTGCAAGATTTGGTGAAGTACCTTCTGGTACATCTTAGGTGCACAACTTATACCGAACATGAGTCGTTTGTACCAGTAAAGTCCCTTGTGTGTGCCAAATCTAGTGATATCCCTTGATTCAGGCGACAGTTCTATCTGATGATAGGCGGTGGTAAGATCCAACTTGCTAAAGAACTTGCTCTGGTTCAAATCTTGTAAAACTTCGTCAATGGTGAGTATTGGGAAAGGCTCTCGTTTTACTGCCACGTTGGCTTGTTGCATATCCACACACAAACTAATATCACCTGAGGGCTTGGGCAACACTACCACTGGTGAGACCCACGAGCTTGGTCCACTCATTTTTTCAATGATGTCTAGTTCCACATGTTCATCCAGTTTGGTACTCAGTTTATCACGCAAGTGGTAAGGGACCCGCCTAATTGGTTGTGCTATAGGTGGTATCTCTGGGTCAGTCGGGACTTTTACCTGGAAATCTTTCAGTTTGCCAATAAGTTCACAACATCCCGGGAACTTTTCAAAAATACTGGCCTCCCCTTTTGCTCCATCCAAAGAATTCACGTGAGCTCCCAACTTCAAAACTCCCAGAGAAATGGCAGTTTCCCGCCCAAAGAGGGCGTGTCTCTCTTTTTCAATAACAACAAATTCGACCCCACTTAGCACACTCTCTCCAACAGACACTTTTGCAGTAAGTATGCCTGGAACTTGTAGTGGCTGATTACTACCATATGCATACAACTTCTTTGAAGACTTAGTCGACGTACATGCAACCTTATTTGCTTTCAGATATTCCCATACATTACGACCTATGACATTGCAACTAGCACCAGAATCAATAATCATTGTTACTGTCAAACCTCCCATCTTCACAGGCCCATCACTTGAAACATTAGAACCATCGAAAATGCCAAAAGCATATTCACAATCATCACCCTGAGTACCAGCAGTTTCTACCTGCCTACCTGCCCTCCAGCTCCTCGACCACTGGTTCGCTTCTTCTTAGTTTTACACACAGCCTCAAAACGTCCTGATCCATTACACTTCCTGCACTGTTTCCCTCTCGCTGGACATCGACGATCGTTGGCTTTATGTCCCGTATATCCACAACAAAAACATTTGAGTTTTCTTGCGCTCACATCCCCTTTGTAATTCGTCTTTCCGCTCACACTATTCACTCCACTACTATTCACTTCACTACGGACCTCACCACTTCCTCCTTTGATTGAACGGGCCTGTTTTTCAGATTCCTCTATAGAATTTCTCTTAATTGTGGCAGTGCCAAGTTTCGACCCTTCTGAACTAACTTACGACGGAGTTCGTGCGACAAGCAATTGCTTACCACTTGATCACGAATTTGCTCATCCACAGTTGCAGCGTCTCCGAATTCGCAGGTTTGAGCTTTTTGTCTCAGTCTAGTAGCAAACTGTTCGACGGTTTCGTTTGCCAGTTGACTGGTTTCACGAAAACAAAGCCTTTCATACGGAACATTCGCTTGCAGTTTGAATATTTATTCAAGGTCGCCTATGCCGTCTGATAGCTATCTGATCCTCCTTCTTCAGTCAACGTGAAATAAATATCTTGCACATTTAATCCGGCAGTGTGCAGCAATAAAGCCTTCTTCTGATGGCCATTTTTGACTCCTTTTTCGGTCGCAAACAATTCAAAAGCTCGAAGCCATCTTTCCTAGCGTGCGGAGATACCAGCAGTTTCTGAACAGTCAAACCGCTTTAATCCGTATGCATCGCTTCTTCAAATGACCGTCCTCGTCGCCAAAATGTAGTATCTTACGGATTTAACCATCAACACACACACCATTGAGGCTCGTGCAAACATGTGTATTCAATCAACATAACAGCCAGAATGTATGCTCGATAATACAAACATGGGGGGTGGGGACGATAGACCTAAATATTCACATATAGTACACCCCTGTAACCCCCTGTAACCCCTTTTAACCCCTTGTAAGCTCTTGCAACCACCTGTAACCCTCTGTAACCCCTTGAAACCCCTTGCAACCCCAGGTAACTCCTTGTAAGCCCCTGTATCCCTTGCAACTCTCTGTAACCCATTGTAACCCCGGGTAAACCCTTGCAACCCTTGTAACCCCAGTAACCCGCGGTAACGCCTTGTAACGTCTTGTCACCCCCTGTGACCCATTGTATCCCCTTAAAACCCCCTTGTAACCCCTTAATACTCTCTAATATATAGATTTAGCCAGGGCTAAAAGAAAAGCTCTCGTTAATAAATTCATAATTAAATCAAACAATAACCTTGTAATCCATAAATCAGGGCACATTCATTTGACTTTTGAGGCAAAGGCTAACTGATTTTAGAGAAAAAAATTGGACAGTCCAAGAGCGAAACAAATTTTACATCGAATTATTAAATAGTCTTATTTGTACACCCAAAAGTAGCAATCATGTTCGATCACAATAGATTAGGCCTGGAAAACAAATAGACCTATTCAAGTATTGTATTTGCATTAGCTGTTGCATCATAATGTGGTATGTCTCTCCAACATTGCTCCGTTAGAGAGACTATGGATAATAATATAATGTTAAGAAACACACGCGCCACGATAGTCCTTGGTGGCAGCCAATTTACACGTTGCATT